GGGATAGATAAACTGGATCACTCATAAAAATGGGATATTATTTAGTCCAAAACCAAAATGAGCTATTAAACAATATAATGATATGGAAGCAACTTAAATTCATATTATTAACTGAAAGGTCTATATTGTACTATTCGATAGGTCAGCGATTAAGAGCACAGACTGCTCTTCTAGAAGTCCTACGTTCAATGCCTACCAACCACATGGTAGCTCACAACCATCTATAACGGGACCCAGTGCATAAAACAAATAAATCTTTAAAAATTAACCCCTTAATGAATTCTTAACATGATGGCACTGTGAAGAAGTGATGACGAGTAGGAGGCAGGGTCTAACCTAGGCCAATGTATCTGGTCCCCTGCTCCTTTTACTCCATGCTTGGCACTCTGGACACAGCCATGCAGTGAGCAGCTCTTCCCTCTTACTGCTATGAAACTGTAGCTGAGCACAGACCAGCAAGTCAACTTTGGATAGAAAGCCCTAAAGCACTGAGCCAAATGGAGTTAGTTGCTTCTTTTCAGGTGTTTTTCCTTGGGGACTTGTCACAACAGTGAGAAGCTGAAACTACAAAGTAATTGAGGAGTACTGGCCTCCAGAGAAAGTTGCTGGTGGTATTGTCCTGGGGAGCCACATGGCTCCTCCATTTTCCTCCTTTATAAATTCAAGACCAGAAACAACTGCAAAAGCAGCCCACCTTTTCCATTCCACAAAAGCCTGTGGTCCTCCTCAGGCCCACTGCATAGATGTCTCAGGGATTCCCCAGTCCATGGCCTCTATGGAGAAGTCCCTGACTCTAGCAAACAATCATGTTCTATAAACATCAGTGACAAGCAGCATAGTTCTCTATGTTGTCCGCTGTATTAAAAATCATTTTTCCACTGCTAAGAGTACTATCTGTATAACTAACTTATTCTTATTCTAGTGAATGAGTCTTTCAAGACTGGACCTTTTAGGCAGTAAGATAGTCCCCGAGGAACTATAAATACAACCAGGCCCTCTCACAGCAGCAGGTGAACATTCTGCTCCCGTTTTCTAAGCAACAAGCAAAGGGCGCTGGGATCCGGGAAATGACCTGGTAGCACTGTGAGAAGATTCTCAGTGAAGTGAGCCATGTGTTCACCAAGGCATAAACTCAGAAGTTATGTGCATGGCCAACAGTGACAGAGCAGAAACTTGGGACCATTCCAAAGAGGGGAACTACAGACTGACTAACCAGCGACACACCCAGTGAGACTGTTTTCAAACAAACCTTCTTACTTCACAGAGGAATAAAGAATGTTTTCCTCAGATGACTTCCAGGACTGCCACCACAAGATGAGTAACTGGGAGATTGCTAACTGATAGCAGTATCTAGATGATGTGTGTTCAGAACACAGAAACAATTATGTCAGAGCAAATAAGGGCTGCGGATATTTATGTAGTGATGACTTTTTCTACATATTTTAATATATGTAGCTTAGCAGTCTTTATGAATACGAACCAACACTAACGAAACGAGAAGCTGGATGGATACCAGGGAGAAGACTCAAAAAGCCAAAGTCGCCTAAGAAATCTAGTGAATTTTTTCATTAATTTAGGAAAAACTTCTTTTAAAAAAAAGTTGGTTTTGTGCTCATTTCATTGTTATATAATAACTGCTAATAAAGCCGAGAGAATGTATGTCTAAAATAAATAGTATAAGAACAGGCAAGGAGCTGATTCAGTTGAAAAACTGCCTTCCTGCATCCGAGCGTGAGGACCAGAGATCAGATCCTTAGCACCCATGCAGAAAGCAGGGTGTGGGAGCCTCATAATCCCCACACTTGGGAGGTAGAGATAAGGGAGCCATGGAATTCACTGTCCAACCAGACTCACCAAATCAGTCAACTCCAGATTCAAACAGATAAACTGGAGAATAATCAAGAAAGTAACTGATGTTGATGGCTTCTATATGGGCATGTGCATGCACTCATACACACATACACACACACACACACACACACACACACACACACACACACACATATATTTTCAGGTTTCAACTCACTAAATACCAAAGTCAAACTTGCTAGAACAAAAATTATTGCCATAAACACACTTGTTCCCATAGTCTATCAGCTTCCCAATAAATGTACACAGGGCAGTGCCTGTTACTCAGAGGTACATCCTGTCTGAAATGTCAGTGCAAAGGTTGTTTCTAACTTGGAGTCTGAAATGACAGTCTACTATCAGTTGAGTGAAAGCAAAACTCTCCAACTCCTGACTTGGAAATCTTAGAATGCCAGTTGAAAAAAAAATTGTCACTGAAGGATAAAAGCTGCTGAAAATACTAGACAAAATAGTAAGAGACTCACTAATGGTAAAAATTGAAGATGCTAAAAATAGCAATTAGATACATACGCACACACACACACACATACACATACACGCATGCATGGATACATACAAATATACATGCATTTATATAAATGTATGTTTTATTAACAGCATATATTTATAACATATATGCATGAAGTTAACTGTTGTCACTACTAAAATAGAAATTACATTTATTTTAATTTGTATTAGTTTGGATCAATGCAGAAATTATTTCTATTCTAATTTGTTCTAGTTTGAGTCAAGACAGTGTTTCTAGTCAACTCTGGATATTTTTACTTGTTATGATACATATCTTACCCAGGCTCATCAAAGCCTGGATATAGTAATTTTTGGAAATCATTTCAAATGACTCAGGGAGTACCAAGCAGAAAGATAAGAGCCAGAAGTGGAAAGACCAAGAGTAGCGGCTCATATGAACGCACAACATCTGTGACAGTATACACAAGACCTGTGCAAGGTGAAGCCAGACAAAATCCCAGAGCAGAGTGGGAAGATGGTCATGAAGTCCCACCCCTGGCTGAGGAATTATTGGCAGTTGATGCTTCTAGGAAAGGGGAGAGTCAGTTTTCTTCAGGGATGCAACACCTGAGAGGTTACCCATATTCCAGTAACCCTACACACACACACACACACACACACACACACACACACACACACACACA